AAACCCTAAACTCTGAAAAATCAACTCTAAAACCCTAAAAGTTGAAACTTCAACTCTAAACCCTCAAAACATCAACTCTAAAACCTTAAACCCTAAAACTTCAAATCTAAACCCTAAACCCTAAATATCAATTCTAAAACCCTAAACCCTGATGTTTTACCTCTAAACTCCTGAAACATCAACTTAAAACCCTGAAACTTCAACTCTAATCCTTAAACCCTTAAATATCAACTCTAAAACCCTAAACCCAGAAACTTCAACTCTAAAGCCTAAACCCTAAAACATCAACTCTAAAACCCTAAAACCTGAAACTTCAACTCTAAACCCTGAAACATCAACTCTAAAACCTTAAACCCTGAAACTTCAAATCTAAACCCGAAGTCCTAAAACATCAACTCCAAAACCTTAAACCCTGATGTTTTACCTCTAAACCCCCTGAAACACCAACTCTAAAACCCTAAACCCTGAAACTTAAACTCTAAACCCTGAAACATCAACTTTAAAACCCTAAACCCTGAAACTTCAACTTTAAACCCTAAACTCTGATAATCCAACTCTAAAACACCAAACTCTGAAACTTCAACTATAAACGCTGAAACTTAAACTCTAAATCCTAAACCCTGAAAATCCAATTCTAAAACCCTAAGCCCTGAAACTTTATCTTTAAGCCTTGAAACATCAGTTCTAGAACCCTAAATCTTGAAACTTCAACTTTAAACCCTAAACCCTGAAAAATCAATCCTAAACCCTGAAACTTCAACTCTAAACCCTAACCTTAAAATTTCAACTCTAAACCCTAAACACTTAAACATCAACTCTAAAACCCTACACCCAAAAACTTCAACTCTGAACCTTAAACCCGGTAACTTCCACTCTAAACCCTGAAACATCAATTCTAGAACTCTAAACCGTGAAATATTAAAACTAGAACCCTAAATCTTCAAACTTCAACTTTAAACCCCAAACAATGAAACTTCAACTCTAAACCATGAAACATCAATTAGAGAACCCTAAACCTTGAAACTTCAACTCTAAACTGTAAACCCTGAAACTTCAACTATAAACCATTCTGAAAAATAAAATTTAAACCCTAAATCTAAACCCTAAACCCTCAACTGTAACCCATAATCTCTAAACCCTATATTTTTCCGTCAAATCCTAAACCCTAAAACCCTTTATATATTAAAATCCGGATGATATATTAAAGTTCATGATAGGCTTCACGGTAATGTATTATAAGATTTGGAAAGCCTTGAGCGTTTTCAGAATGGGCTTCCGAATAATATATTAATCTTCAGGATAATGTATTATCAAATTTGGAAAGACTTGAGTGTATTCAGGATGAGCTTCCAAATAATATATTAATCTTCAGCATAATGTATTATAAAATTTGGAAAGCCTTGAGCGTGTTCAGGATGGGCTTCCAGATAATATATTATTCTTTAGGATAATGTATTATAAAATTTGGAAAGCCGTGACCGTGTTCAGGATGGACTTCCTGATAATATATTAATTTTTAGGATAATGTATTATAAAATTTGGAAAGCCTTGAGCGTGTTCAGTATGGACTTCCGGATAATATATTAATCTTCAAGATAATATATTATAAATCTTGAAAAGCCTTGAGCGTGTTCAGGATGGGCTTCCTGATAATATATTAATCTTTAGGATAGAATTTAAGGTTTAAATTTTAAAGTTTAGGGTTTAGAGTTGATGTTTTAGGGTTTAAGGGTTTCGAGTTTAGTATATTAATCTTCAGGATAATGTATTCTAAAATTTGGAAAGCTTTGAGTGTGTTCAGGATGGGCTTCCAAATAATATATTAATCTTCAGGATAATGTACTATAAAATTTGGAAAGCCTTGAGCGTGTTCAGTATAGGCTTCTAGTTAATATATTAATCTTCAGGATAATGTATTATAAAATTTGGAAAGTCTTGAGCGTGTTCAGGATGGACTTCCTGATAATATATTAATTTTTAGGATAATGTATTATAAAACTTGGAAAGCCTTGAGCGTGTTCATGATGTACTTCCGAATAATATATTAATCTTCAAGATAATGTATTATAAATCATGGAAAGCCTTGAGCGTGTTCAGGATGAGCTTCCTGATAATATATTAATCTTTAGGACAGGATTTAAGGTTCAAGGTTTAAAGTTTAGAGTTTAGAGTTTAGTATATTAATATTCAGAATAATGTGTCCTAAATTTTGGAAAGCCTTGAGCGTGTTCAGGATGGGTTTCTGGATTGAGGATAATGTATTATAAAATTTGGAAAGCTATGAGCGTGTTCAGGATGGGCTTTCAGATAATATATTAATCTTCAGAATAGACTTTAAGGTTTAAGGTTTAGAGTTTAGGGTTTAGAGTTGATTTTTAGGGTCTAGAGCTTCAAGTTCATATTTTAGGGGTTTGGGTTGAAAGTTGATTTTTTTTTAAGGTTTAGGGTTGAGGGTTTAGGATTTAAGGTAATTTTTTTAGGGTTTAGGGTTTGGGTTGAGAGTTTATGGTTTAGAATTTTGATTTAGTGTTTAGGTTTTAGGGTTTTGAGTTTACTTTTATGGTTTAGGGTTTAGTGTTCATAGTAAGGTTTAGAGTTGAGGTTTTAGGGTTTAGGGTTTAGAATTGAGGTTTAGGGTAAATTTTTTAGTGTTAAATATTTAGAATTTATTTATAGGGTTTAAGTTTCAGTGTTGATGGTTTAGGGTTTAGAATTGAGGTTCATAGTTTAGGCTTGATTTTTGAGGGTTTAGGGTTTAGAGTTTAGTTTTTATGGTTTAGGATTTTAGTGTTGATAGTTTAGAGTTTAGAATTGTTGTTTAGGATTTATATTTTACTTCTATGGTTTAAAGTTTAGTGTTGATAATAAAGTTTAGAGTTGAGGTTTTAGGGTTTAGGGTAATTTTATAGGGTTAAGGGTTAAGGGTTTTGAGTTTATTTTTAGGGTTTAGGGTTCTGTGTCGATGTTTTTGGGTTTAGAATTCAAGTTTAGGGTTTAAAATGTAGGTTTAGGGTTTAGGGTTAGGTTTAGTGATGATAGTAAGGTTTAGAGTAGAGGATTTAGAGTTTAGAATTGAGGTTTACGATCTAAGGTATTTTTTTAGTGTTAAAGATTGAGAATTGTTTTTAGGGTTTATGGTTCATTGTTGATGGTTTAGGATTTAGAAATGTTTAGGGTTTAGAATTGATGTTTTAGGGTTTAGGGTTGAAGGTGTAGAGTTAGTATTTTTAGGGTTTAGGGTTTAATGTTGATAGTAATGTTTAGAGTTGATAGTAAGAGAGTTGAGGTTTTAGGGTTTATGATTCTTCTTTTATATGTATACTAGGTAATAACCCGCGCCTTGCGCGGGATGAGATTATTACTTTTGTTACTTTAATGATAAAATGATATTATATCTGTTTAGCATGAATATTAGTTTATTTTTACGTTGTTTTTTTAATCTCCTAAAATATAACTATCATTCTAAATATATATTTATTTTGGTTTGTTTGGTGTAAATGTTTGATGTTTTTGATTTTTTCGATGATAACCAAAAACTATTGTTATTTGTTTGGTTTCATTTTATATAAATTTTAGATATTTTTGATGTCGAACTAATAGTTTCCTATTATAATTTCTAAACACATGTAAAATCAACTTCAATATGAGAATTTTTAACAACTTTAGTCATTTATTGTCGTTTTAAAAAATTCAAAGTATAGCAAATACGAAAAAATCTAAATTTTTATTATATAGTTAATGTAGTTGTTGAATTTATTTTAATAAGTTCAAATTTTAAAGTTACACTAATTTTTATCAAATCTTTATTATTAAAAATTATTAATTTTCATATATTCTTTAACCATATTTGGCTATCCGTTACTTTTATTTAAGAAAACAATTAAAAAAATATTTTTTCTATTTTATATGATATACAATTAAGTTTAAATGATATTATCGTAGAAATATAATAAATTTTTAATATTGATATTCGTTAAATTATAGTTTATACTCATATTATTTTTTTGTTCATTTTTATATTTTTATAATAAAAATTTTAAATCACTGATAACATTTTTTTTGTGTGGGATGTTTACCATTTTTAGTTATTTATAGTTTTAAAACAATATGCAAAGTTTAAAACTAAATATTAAGTTTTCAATATTTTATTTAATTTTTTTATCAAAAAATCAAAGAACATTAGAAATTAAAATACATATATATATATATATTATATATGGTACATAATTTATTTTGAACAATATATATATATATATATATATATATATATATATATATATTAAATGAGACATTTTTACTTATATAATTTGTAATCATTTCTATTTTTTTATAAAAATTTAACCATGGATCACAAAAAATTTAGTGAGGCTTTTTAACAACTTTAGTCATTTATAGTCATTTTAAAAAATTCAAAGTATATCATATACGAAAAAATATAAATTTTTATTATATAGTTGATGTGGTTGTTTAATTTATTTTAATAAGTTAAAATTTAAAATTTACACTAATTTTTATCAAATCTTTATTATTGAAAATCATTAAATGTCATATATTCTTTAATCATATTTGCCAATTCCGTTATTTTTTATTTAAGGAAATAATGAAAAAAATGAATAAGTCATTTATGATTAGTTTAATAAAAAGCTTATTATATATTTAGATAGACAAACATATTTTTCTAAGGATTCTAAGAATGATTGTGGTGATGACACGTGGCTACAAAACAATGTTGTAATGCTTCTCCTTTAATATATAGGGTATGTAGGGGTATCAAAATCTTTTATCCTATTAAAAATATCATTTTTGTGATTTTCAACTTGATGTGCTATTTTTTAGGTGAAAACTAAAATATGTGCTATTTTGGAGAATTGCCCATAATATAAACATATCAAAATAAAAAATAGCCCCCTTTAAACTATCTAAAAAAATCTGAAATTCAGTTAACCGCAACGACATTGGAACTCAATACATAATATCAAACAACTTCAAAAGAAAAAATGGTTCACATAAACATTTCCAAAATAAAAACAAATTTTAAATATATCTAATAAAAATAAGTTCTCTGAGTTAATCGTGGATAAATCCCTAGTCTAGAATCTTTATCAACTAAAAATATAGGACGTAGGTATAAGATGCAACTTAATAGGTTTAAGACCAATTTAGTTGTTCCCACTCCCAAAAGGGTTGTGATAGCCCATCAACCATCTCGGAAATGGTTTGTGTAGTAGAAGCATTCACGGGCAACTGAACTTGGTTTCCTCCTCCTGAATATGAAGTTTCCGGTGAGGTTGATAGTGTGGCACATGATGGTGTCTTAACTCCATTGTAAGGAAGCTTTCTCTCTCGGAGTTGTGAAAGCCCATCAAAACTCTCTGGAATGCTTTGTATAGTAGTAGCATTCACGGGTAACTGAACCTGGTCCCCTCCTCCTGAATACGATGTTTCCTGTGAGTTTGTCATTTTGGCACATGATGATGATTCAACACCATTCTTAGGAAACTTTCTCTCTCGGAGTTGTGGTAGCCCATCAACCATCTCAGAGTTGCTTTCTGTAGCAGTAGCACGACATGATGTCTCAATTCCAAGTCGAGGAAGCTTTCTCTCTATGGCATAAGCTTCCGTGGGGCGTCTGTCAAAGGCTCTTGAGCTTCCTGATTTTATGTAGATTCGACAGACACTGAACTCGTGCCTCAACTATATTAATAAAAACAAAAATATCATGTCAATACCTTTGTGATCCGACATTCTTTTTTTAACAATCAACATTTATTTTGCAAAGGTTAAAGTATCTTTGATATAGCCCTTAGGGTCGAAATATATGAATATAATACTAATAATTATTATTTTTTGGTTGGGAATAGAACAGCCAATGTATACAATTCTCTGTAATACAAAACATGTCTGTTAAGAGAGATATATGAAATCATGTAAAAACTTCAAATACTACAAAACATGTTTGTTTTAAAAAAGTTGACCACACACTTGTATCGCTTTGAGAACGGTATAACAAGTTAAGAGTGGGTTAGATATATATATATATATATATATATATATAATACAAAAACTTCTTCTCTCTGAATGGAGTTTTGGACATAACCAAAGGGTAGTTCGTTTAATATTTTATCTGCTGTAAATTTTCTTGTAAAGCTTATATTCTAATACATTTATTATGATTATATATAACACTGTAATCCCACATATAAAAAGTTGGTACTTGAAAAAGGAAGTTGTTAAAGAAACAAATATGATTTATTTTTAAAAAGTGGTTAAACAAATAGTATTTGATGAAAGTGTTCATATTATAAAACGTAGTTAGGCACCTTAGGAATGGTAGATATGGCTGTTTCGTCAATTCCTTTATATTCATTCATTTTCCATTTTGTCTTTCTCCCCGTAGGTGCTTTCCCGATGTAGAAAACCATCGTCTTCTTAACTCCGATTACACGATTATCAGGCGAGAACACAGGCCCTGGTGAACCAGTTGCTTTCCAGTAACCTAAACCAGTGGTCCTGCTCGGCCTTCCTCCTCTAGCTTCCCGCTCTTGTCTTGGCACGAAGAAAAGCCATTGTTCTGCGTCTCCTCGACACCTCTCTCCCGCAAGATCTGCAAATAAATATCCATCCACATATAACTCACCTCTGCTGCGTAAGGCTTCAATTTATGTGATTTTTCGTTTGCGGTTATATGCCAATTTGTTTTCACATTTTGTAAAGCCTATTTATTTCCTGAACATAAACGCAAATGTCAAATTGAATGGGAAGGTCTTTTGATACTTACTAAATGTTGTTTATGATAATAACCGTAGTGGGTTCATTTGCAAAAACAAAATCAATGTAACCCCGATTTTTTTTTTTTTTTGTTCTTTTACATGTACGTTTGGTGTGTATTTTTTGTAAATAAACTCAACGTCTTAGCATCTTATTAAATAATCTAAACACAAGCAACAAACAATTATAAAAACGAACACTTAATTTACGTTTGGCGTTTACACTTCAAAAATACTTAAAAGAAAATTAAAATTATGCATTTTAGAAATTTGATTTTTCTTGTAAAAGATTTTTACATTAAATGTTTGGGCAGGTAAAAAGAACATGAACGCAACAAGCAATCGAAACCTAGGTCTCATGCATACAATCTCAATATGATCGCCTTGTTTCACTTAAGAAACGCAAACGTAGAACTTTTCAGTGAGACGTATCTTTATAATCCTCTTCTAATATATGTTAAATTATTGATCAGAAATCAAGGACACATTATAATCGTCGACATCATATATATAGCTAATGATGACTACATACGTACTTGGAAGTTGAGTAGGCTCAACGCTAAACACATCGAGGATGGGTATGAGACTGTGAATTGTAGCATTTCCTCCGTGAAGCTGGTATCTTAAGTAGAACGAAATCAGCTCAACTTCCGTCGGATAAAAACGAAACCCTACGGGAATCTCTTGCTCCATTTTTTTCTTCTGTTGTGTTGCAGAACATTTGCTTTCTAAACCATAGGCTCATGATGAGTTTAAATAGGTGCAAGATATTTTGAAGTAGAGATTGGTTTTTCTGAGTGAAATAGGAATTTTTTTTTACGCGTTTGGACTTTAGTTTTTATTGTTTATTACTATTTGTCTTTTATAGTTTGTTTGAGAATTGAGAGGGCCCATATTTGGTGCTGTTTCAGCATTTCTACGTAAGAGGCAGGTGAGTGCTTTACACAAACCACAAACCACAAACCACATACCTCTTATATTGAATTAGTCAAGGCTCCTTATTAGTTTCCCATCAATATCTAATTATATATTTTTTTATTTCTTTATATCATTCCTTTATCTTTATTGTTCTGTTTTTGGGAAGTTTCATCCATATAACATTTAGAAATGCTTAAAAGAATAGTTTTAAAAATGGTATTATTAAAACTAGAAAGAAGCTAACGATAGAGTTAAATTTATCATTTTCTAAATTCAGAGTTCTGTTTTTAGGGTTTATTTTTAACAAAAAGAATTTTAGGGCTCAGAAACTTTTGGACTAGGGTTTAGGATTTTGAATTGGGGGTTTAGCTTTTTAGAATTTGAATAGTTTAGGGTTTATGATTCAGTATTTTTTTGTATCTTAGATTATTTTGTGATTTCAAAAAAGAAAATATAATCTACCTTGAAGTTTTTTGTATAGTAAGGCATACTGTCCTAAGACACACAGACGGACATTTCGTTAGCTTCTCTCTAGGTTCGGATGATTTTTATATATGAACATTCAAATTATAAATTGTCCATTCTAAAGGATATTTAAATCTAGACAGAAGCTAAATACAGGAATAAAATACGAAATATTTGTTTTGCATCAATAAATACGATTTTTGTATGGACTTATGGTATACTACATTAGATATGTCTTATTTTGTTCATTAGATATGAAATTAACCAGATAATACTAGCTTTATATTAGCTAAGCCTCTAGTAATTAATATAAAATTATATGTAGCGGTCTTAAATAGAATTAACCCTTTTCAGTTACAGGACAAACAAAGCTTTCAACTTTGCATTCCAGTTATTAGTATAGTGAGGATAATGAAACTTCAGGTTCTTTTTTTTGCGTCTCGTAGCTCTCTCATCTAAGGCATTGGTGGGAAACCATCTCTTCGATCTCTTTATATCTGGTTTGTGGATTGGCTTAAACTGCAATTATACTTCTCCTCTTTCATTTCACAAATCTAAGACTATAAAGTGAGGACTGTGGTGATATTTTCCTCCCACTTTCATTCCTGTACCATATTGAAGTATTTAAGTGAGTTATTTATGCTTGCATGTTATCATAACTGCACAAATATTATTTTGTTGTTAAAACTATCGTATATAATATGCATATACGTATCTATATACTTGTAAAATTTGTTGCTTTGTGAACACCCACATACATCTACAGATTGCTAAAAATAATATGGTTGTGTGATGTTTGAGGCTTGTTTGCTATTGTTTGTATTGTTTGATGGGAATTCTCATACGTGGATAAGAGATAAGTTGAAGTTGTGAGGCATGTGTGCCAATACAGGTAAGGAGACCTGTCCTTTATGTTCAACTACGTACTCTTTGTTGGACCATGATGGGCAATGGTGATCATGGTTCATCACCAGAGGGGAAAGGAGCGAGCATAAACGAGACTTGACAACAAACACTGGAGCCAATTAATTATAACCACATATAGGTGTGGATGGCGTTGACTAACCATGGGCGGGCGCATTTCATTTTGGGGGGCACTGGCCTAGGATTTTCCCTCGGTCTTTGTGTGTTTTCCGTTTGTTATATCGGATTAGTTAGATACTTGTATTATCACGTGTGTTTATTGTCGGCGGATGTTGCTGAGGCTCCTAAAGTTTGCCTCACAAAGTTTTTGTTGAAAATACACTACTTTTTATTTTTCAGGTGAGTTCCAGGATGTTTAAGAGTTGTTGCCTCGGTTTTGTTCATAGTATAGGGGTTTTTATCTGAGCTTCTCAGTTCTACTTTCAGCTATTTCGTTTTAAGAACTTGGTAGCTTGATTTATGCGTTTTCTATTAAGTTACAATATTATTTTGTAAGACTTATCAAATGGTAGATTTGCATTTTTTATAAATGTTTCTTGTGGGTGAAAGGAAGATAAATATATGGAGGTGTTTCAAAACCTATTCACGAAGAGAATTTAATCAACGACGTAAGACCGCGAACTAACCTGAAGGAAGGAGTCAACCCCAAAATTAATTAAAATGAAATGTCATTCGTCCTAAAGCTGAGAAGCCAAGCAAACCAAAATATATGTAGTAGATAAAAATGTGTAATTATCAAAAGATTAATGAGGTTTAGAAACATAAGCTTAGATCATAAAAGAAAGAAAGAAAGAACAGATCATTAAAAAAAAAAAAAAAAAAAAGATAGAAAGAAGAGCCATTGGTAAACACCTCACATTTCTTCCAAACTCAAACCATGTTTTTCCATTTGTTGTTTCTTCGGAGTTTGATTCTAAGCTTATTTATTCTTTGTATTTCAATAAAATCACTAAATAAAAATTCTTGTTCGGAGACCTTGCTTTAAATTATTTTTACTAAACATAACGTCAAACTCATTTGTTTTTATTCACCTAAACACCCGATTCTTAAAGTTTATTTATCTACCAATATTGATATTTTCCATATTAATATAGTAGCATTTTTATTCATAGATTTTCTTATCTAATTTTGTTTATCATATCGTTGGGGAAAGTTGATTTGTTACCTCAGGATATATATATATATATATATATATATATATATATATATATATATATTAGCTATGGACTTTTTTTTGTGTAAGGACTTCTTTTATTACCTATGAACTTACTAACCTCAAACACATAATTAATAGAATTTTTGTATGTATTTAAAATAGCTCCACACAAGACTCTTTCGTAGAAATTCCAAAAAGAAAACTCTAGAGATAGATATGGTTTTATCATGTCTCTCTCTAGACTGTTACCTCATAGAAGACTTCGTGGATACAAAGTCAAGATAAATTAAGAAAACATGTAGAGTTAATATCCGCACATGTAGTGAATATAAATAATATATGAAAAACTTTTATATATTTATATATATTTTTTTTGAAACTAATTTTTATATATTATTGGTATGATAAAAAAACGACATGAGCATTTTACCAGATATTTGAAGAATTGAATCGAAATAACTAAAATTTAAATTATAATCGGACCGAAATGTTGAAATATCTAAAAAAATTCTATAATTCTAAATCCAAAATATCCAAACCAAGCAAGAATTGAATCAAGAAATGAACTGGTACTGGATACATACATATATATATATATATATATATATACAATAAATAAAAAAGGATATTAGCTCCATTGAGGTTATCCACGTTAGCAGAAAAAAATCATCCAATAGAGATATTGCTTTTTGACACCTCAGCATAGAATTAAGTATTTTAGACTTTATTTTTTTAATCCGTTTTGTTTAAAGAGAAGGCCCGATAAACCCAATAGTTGGAAACTCTGAAAATCTGGAAAACCAAAAGATAAACGTTATTCATCGTTGTTCTCTTTCATCTTCTCTTCTTCTCTTCCAACTTGAAAGTTGATCAATCAACACACTACTTCACTTCTGTGTAATCAAACCTTCTAATATCGCGTTTATGGCTTCCTTTCACCTTTCTCCTTTCTCCCTCTGAATTTCTTTATAACCCCATTTTCCCAGATTGATTACAACTCTCTCAAACGCCATGTTCAAATCATGTTGCTCGCCAATAGATGCAATTTTGTTTATGCATGTTTTTACCTTCCTTTATAACATTATCATATGATTGATTTATATTGTCATCCAATAGAGATATTGCTTTTTGACACATCAGCATAGAATTAAGTATTTTAGACTTTATTTTTTTAATCTGTTTTGTTTGAAGAGACGGCCCGGTAAACCCAATAGTTGGAAACTCTGAAAATCTGGAAAACCAAAATATAAACGTTAGTCATCGTTGTTCTCTTTCATCTCCTCTTCTTCTCTTCCAACTTGAAAGTTGATCAATCAACACACTACTTCACTTCTGTGTAATCAAACCTTCTAATATCACGTTTATGGCTTCCTTTCACCTTTCTCCTTTCTCCCTCTGAATTTCTTTATAACCCTCTTTTCCCAGATTGATTACAACTCTCTCAAACGCCATGTTCAAATCACGTTGCTCGCCAATAGATGCAATTTTGTTTTTGCATGTTTTTACTTTCCTTTCTGACACTATCATATGATTGATTTATATTGTATGATTTTACTGCATTAGGTTCAGTTTCTGGCAACAAAACGATCAAATCCAATGAGAAATCTGCCAAGAGAAAAAGAAAGAATTAGTACATATGAATCAGGAACAATAATGAGCTTATGATGTAGATGCATGCAGGATCCGTATGGTGCGGTGATTCCTGATGTTATTGCTGTTGCTGAGATGAATGACTTCAAGCTGAGCCATGAATGGTACAGTTAGGTAGCTCAAGACCCCTTTCAGGGTTTGCCCCATGAAGATCCCAAGAATCAAAATTAAGAACTTGTGGTTCTAGTCCCAAGGAGCGAGCATAATGAAATATCTAAATACCAAATGCTCTGCAAGATTTTTCCATACTCTCTCTCTTGGATGCATTTAGCTGGTTTAGTCCACTGCAGTCAGGATCTCTAACCCGTTGGGACGACACTGGAAGAGCTTTCCTCTTTGAATTTTTTGGTGATGCCGCAGCAGCTCAAGAAGGGAGATAAATGGTAAGTGGGACATGCTCATGAAAATTTAGCAGATAAAGAGTGTTAAGAACTGGTTCCAAGACAGCTGGTCGAATACGCTATGGCAAAGATTGATGAACAACATGGATCTAAAGGGCAGAGCAGACTGAACGAAGTTGGAGCGGGTGACTCAAACTCAGCATCTATCAACACAACCACCTCATCATCGATCGACACAGATTCTTCTTGTCAAT